GTGGCTCAGCCTGTAATCCCGCGCCTTTGGGAGGCTGAGGTGAGTGGATTGCCTGAGCCCACGGGTTCAAGACCCGCCTGGGCAACTTGGTGAGACCTCATCTCTACAATAAATCAAAAATCAGCTGGGCGTGGTAGCGCACGCCTGTAATTCCGGCTACTCAGAAGGCTGAGGTGGAAGGATCGCCGGAGCCCAGTGGGTCGAGGCTGCGGTGGCCGGGAGTAGCCACTGCACTCCAGTCTGGGCGACGGAGTGAAACTCCAACTCAAAAAAAAAAGGATAGTGCCTGGCATATCCAAGGTATGAAATGAATGGCAAGTGCCATTATGAGCAGGTGTTTATAACTCTGCTGAACAAGTGAATCGATTTAATCCAGCAACAACTCCTGCATGCCTGCAGTGTGTCAGTCCCATGGCTCAACAGTAGGCGGACAGTTGGACCCTGGCCCACATAGATCCCACAGTCTAGGTGGGAGACAGACAAAGAAAAGTCACAGATGAAGACACAACCCATTTCACATTGTAGGAAGTGCTGTTCGGGAAGCAAAGGCCAGGACACAGAACAAGGCAGAGAAAGAATCTACTTTAGATCTGATGGTCAGGAAACACAAGGGAGAGGTCTAGGGTGAAAGGGGACCAGACCTGTGGGGTGGGAGGAGAATATTCCAAGCCAAGGGCTGCTCAAGAAGCAGCAGGGCAGGAAGCATCATGGATGGAGGGCAGGAAGGCCTTGCAGGTCATGATCAGGAGTTTGCACATTTCTTTTTTTTTTTTTTTGAGTCAGTCTCACTCTGTCACACAGGCTGGAGTGCAGTGGCACGCTCACGGTCACCCTAATGCTGACCTGCCGGGCTCAGGCAACCCTTCTACCTCAGCCTTCCAAGTAGCCGGAACTACAGGCACATGCTACCACACTTGGCTAATTATTTTATTTATTTATTGTAGAGACGAGGTCTCACCAAGTCGCCCAGGCTGGTCTTGAACCCCTGGGCTCAGGCAATCCTCTAGCCTTGGCCTCCCAAAGTGCTGGGATCACAGGCTTTAGTCAAAGCGCCTGGCTTGTACATGCCTTTTAAAGAGGTTTCAAGTTGGGACTGACGTGATCTGCTGTATGAAAGGCCTGTCAGCCCTCACGGAACTGAAAGGAGCAGGCAAGTTGGGAGGTAACATCAATATTTCTAGGAGGAAGCAGATGGAGGGCAGGCATGCTTCAGAAACAGAACCCACAGAAAATGGGACTTGCCACTGTGCTGAACGTGAGGGGTAAGAGGAAGGTGTCAGCAAGATGGCGCCCAGCTGCCAGTCTGAGACAGGTAGACAGCACTGCCACCCACTGAGAGGGAAAAATGGATGTACATTGGGAAACCAGTGCCTCAGGACAGACACATCAGGTTTGTGTGTGTGGAAGCTCAGAGGGCAGTCCTGGGCTGAGACTACACAGGTGAGACCCCCACACAAAGATGCTACTTAAATCCACAGGAATGAATGAACGGAACCATTTTGTTAATCTTACTCCCATAAGTGCTGCACAACCACCCTGACCACACAGAGAAACTACAGCTTAGCCCCACGGTCCTAAAACTTGAGGGTACATCAGAATCACCTAGTGAACCAGTTAAGCCCCCATTGTTACTCCCAAAGCTTCTGATTCAGGAGGTCTGGGGTGGAGCTACAAAATGTCCACTTCTAGAGCCGGGCTCGGTGGCTCAGCCTGTAATCCCGCGCCTTTGGGAAGCTGAGGTGAGTGGATTGCCTGAGCCCGCGGGTTCAAGACCCATCTGGGCAACTTGGTGAGACCTCATCTCTACAATAAATTAAAAAATGAGCCGGGCCTGTAATTCCAGCTACTTGGAAGGCTGAGGCGAAAGGATCGCCGGAGACCAGCAGGTTGAGGCTGCGGTGGCCGGGAGCGGCCACTGCACTCCAGTCTGGGCGACAGAGTGAGACTCCAACTCAAAAAACAAAAAAAAAGAAAATGTCCACTTCTAAAGAGTCTCCAAGGATGCTGACCCTGTGGGTCTGGGGCCTTCACTTTGGGATCACTCCTCTACCAGAAACAGTGGGCCTGACCTTCACTCCTAACTCCATACTTACTAACTACAGGGAAGACACTTGACTGCCCTGCTCCTCAAGTGTTAAAAGGTGATCAGGGGTCTGGACACTGTGGCATTAAGAGGTGCACCCACACAGTTCCAGCGTGAAGTAAACTGTGTGTGGTTCCTTTTAGTTGGAAATCATGCAGAGAGCTTCCCGTCTGAAGAAAGAGCTGCACATGGTAGCCACAGAGCCGCCCCTAGGCATCACATGTTGGCAAGATAAAGACCAAATGGATGATCTGCGAACTCAAATCTAGGGCAGAACCAACATACCTTATGAAAAAGGTGTTTTCAAGCTGGAAGTTATCATTCCTGAGAGGTACCCATTTGAACCTCCTCAGATTCGATTTCTCACTCCAATTTATCACCCAAACATTGATTCAGCTTGAAGGATTTGTTTAGATGTTCTCAAATTGCCACCAAAAGGTGCTGGGAGACCCTCCCTCAACATTGCAACTGTGTTGACCTCTATTCTGTGTTGACCTCTATTCTGGCTGCTCATGTCAGAACCCAACCCTGATGACCCACTCATGGCTGACATATCCTCGAAATTTAAATATAATAAGCCCAGTCGGGCTCAGTGGCTCAGCCTGTAATCCCGTGCCTTGGGAGGCTGAGGTGAGTGGATTGCCTGAGCCCACGGGTTCGAGACCCGCCTGGGCAACTTGGCAAGACCATATCTCTACAATAGATCAAAATGAGCCAGGTGTGGTGGTGCGCGCCTGTAGTTCCAGCTACTTGGAAGGCTGAGGCGGAAGGATCGCCAGAGCCCAGCAGGTCGAGGCTGTGGTGGCCAGGAGGGGCCACTGCCCTCCAGTCTGAGTGACAGAGTGAGACTCCAACTCAAAAAAATAAATAAATAAATAAATATAATAAGCCAGTCTTCCTAAAAAATGCCAGGCAGTGGACAGAAGAAGCATGCAAGACAGAGGGCTGATGAGGAAGAGATGCTTGATAGTCTACCAGAGGCTGCTGACTCCGAAATACACAGCTCAACACAGAAAAGGAAAGCCAGACAACAAGGAGGCATAGAAAAGAAATTTTGTCCTGGTATTTAGGGGATTTGTCCTGGTCCATCTTTGGAGAGGCACATGTATGCTAGTTATATAATCAAAATGAGACTCTTGCTAGTATCATTTCATGGCAAGCACTACTTTAAACAAGAATGTCCTGGACCATTCTTTGCCAAGATGGTCTAATTTGCCTACCTTTCTTGAATGTTATTCTTTGTTATTTGATAAAATTATAATTTTTGTAGCCTATAAAAGACCTTGTATATTTATGTATTCTGCTCTACAGTGATTCTGAGTGTATTTTGTTTTATTTATCTTGTACATACATATTTTGAAATCTTTTAAACCTGAAGAATAAATAATCGTTTAATACTGGGGGGGGGGAATAGGTGGTCAGAAAAGGCCCATTGTGGTGGTTCATGTCTATAGTCCCAGCCACTCCGGAGGCTGAGGTGGGAGGATCACTTGAGCCCAAGAATCTGAGGCTGCAGTGAGAAGTATGAATTACCTTCTCAGTAAGTACACAGAAGGCACATAATGTTGGCTGAACATGTAAATTTAGTTTAAATGTGGAGTCGGAGAGAGAAAAGGTCAGTTTTTTCAGAACTCATTCCTGGCCAGGTGTCATGACTCAAAACCTGCAATCCCACACTTTGGGAGGTGAGGCAGAAAGATCGCCTGAACCCAGGGGTTGGAAGCTGCAGTGAACTATGATGGCATCACTGCACTCCAGCCTGAGTGGCGGTGAGACCTTGTTTCTTTTTTTGTTTATTTTAATTTATAAGGTTTTTTTTCTTTTTTGAGTTGGAGTCTCACTCTGTCACCCAGGCTGGAGTGTGATGGTCCACTCACAGTCACCCCAGCGTCGACCTGCTGGGCTCTGGCGATCCTTCCACCTCAGCTTCCAAGTAGCCAGAACTACAGGCACACGTTACCATGTCCAGCTAATTTTTGATTTATTGTAGAGATGAGTAGCCAGGGCTTGTCTCAAACCTGCAAGCTCAGGCAATCCACTCATCCCAAAGTGCTGGGATTACAGGTTGAGCCACCAAGCCCAGCCCTGGGGGGCTGGCCCTGACCTCTTCTGGCATGAGTGCCCTCCCTCCTGGGCAACAGACCTATCCTCTGGGTTTGGCAACCACAGTTTCCCAATTTTCAGAAAATTCTCAATTTTATGTAATTCTAATTCTAACTCTAATTATTATTATTATTATTATTATTATTATTATTATTATCATTATTATTTTGAGTTAGATTCTCACTCTGTTGCCCAGGCTGGAGTGCAACCCAGCCCAAGCTGAAGCTTCAACCTGCTAGGCTGACATGACCCTTCCATCTCAGCCTTCCAAGTAGCTGGAACTACAGATGTGTACTACCACACCCAGCTAATTTTAAAATTTATTGTAGAAACAAGGTCACACATGTTGCCCAGTCTGGTCTCATACCCCTGGGCTCAGGCAATCCTCTTGCCTCCATTTCTCAACATGCTGGGATTACAGGCGTGAGCCACCACGCCGGGCCCTAATTATTTTCAATAAAGATGATAAAGTGAGTGTGTAGCAAAACAAACTTTTGCCAGCTCCTCTTTGTAAGACTCTTCATGGAACTAAGTCCATGTGCCTCCAGCCTTCCCCGGACTTCCTTCTCCTATGGCATCTTTCCCAAGCCTGCTCTGGGGCAGGCTCATCTGAAACGGTGAAGGGCACCCTTCCCGAGAAACCGCATCAACCAGGCCCCATCCAGAGCACAGGACACAAGTTCAGGATCGTGCTGGTGATCTGGGGAGTAGGAGGCGAGGAGTATAGGGAGGGTCCATGCCCTCCCATGGTGGCGCTGAGCCCAGCACCCTCACCTGTGACAAAGGGCAGAGGGCGCCGCTGAGCAAGCCTTACCTTCTCATAGGGACAGTACTTGAACATCTTGATGGGGCTCGTGCAGATGAAAACTTCAGTGCTGCTGACGAGAGACAGGAGTGAGCCTGCGAGCCCATGGCCCAGGGCCTTCCTACTCTGTGGTCTTGATCACCACCCCCCAAGAATTTACCGCCCACCTTGCCCTCACCAGGCTGAACCCACTCAGAGTCTGAGCCCTTCACCTGGTGTGAGAAAACCCACTGCCCCATGTTGTCTCCACACCAGAGAGACATTGGCCTTGCATTTCTGCCCCATCTGATGGCCCCGAGCAGCCCATGACCCCGATTGGCCACGGACCACTATCTCGAGGTAGACGTCTGACTTCACAGCATCTGACCAGGGCCTTGTGCAACACAGAGTAGTAAGTAAAGAGATCTGAGAAAGAGGAATTCTGGGAACGTCTGCAAGTCCCCAGGTCATGGGGAACACAAAGGAGGAAGCCCATGCCATACCCAGCTGAGCTCTCCAGCAACGGGGATCCCCTCAAGACAGGTTTTGGCTCTGAGGAACGCCAAGTCCCCACAGGCTGTGGGCCTGTGCTGAGTGGATGTGGGAGGGCCCAGGGGCCTCCCAGGTGCCTGTGCCCCCACACCCACTGGGCCCCAGCCCTACCAATGGGACCATCTGGTGCTGAACACCCTCGAGAAGCCGGTGTTCACCTGCCTCCCGTGCACTTTACTAAGCCTGTGGAAGAGTGCATTTATGGATTCTCTCTCTCTGAGAGGCATGGATAGATGGACGGGTCCGTGGCACACAGGGTGTGCCCTCTTGTTACCTGACTCTGAGCACTCCCTCTGCCAGCCACACCAGCCCCTCACACCTGCTACCCCAACGTCCTCACCTCCTGCCCCACCAAAACTGGCCTCACACAAAGGGTACGCCTTCCCTGCTTGCCTGTTTCTTCCTCAGACCCCACAGACTTCTCCTTTGCTCCCTCCAAATCCCTGACTCCGACACTCACGCCTTACAGCACACCCCACGGCACCTCCTGGCTGAGGTCATCCACCACTGCATGACCCCACTCGCTGGCTCGCTGCTGTCCCTTCCACCCTGCTCTATCATCAGCCTCAGTGACTCGACATACACATACTGTACACATCCACACGTGTGCATACATGCAGCTCCAACACCACGGCTCGGCCCCTAACCTTCCTCACACTCAGACACCTGCTTCACACTCTCCTCCTCACCTCTTGACCCCCGCTTTCTCACCTCCTGTCCCCACTTCAACTCGCGCCAGCCTGGCATCTGACCCTTCACTCCACAGAAACTGCTCCTTATCACCAAGAACCCGCATGTCCCCATGTCCAAGGCTCACCTCGCCATCCTCTCCTCAACCCCAGCTGGCCACGCTAGCCCTTCTGCGGCACTCCTCTGTCCTGGCTCCTATCCTGTGATCCTCACAGCTGCCTGCTCCTCTCCTGACCTCTGGGGGTTGGTTCTAGGCCCTCGGGGGCTCTCCACCTGCACTCCCTGCTAGGTGATATCCAGGCCGTGGCTTTAAACACCACCTACATGCTGATGTGTCCCAAGCTCTCCCAGCTCCAGGCTTATATCCTAATGGCCCCCCGTCCCCTGCACCCCAGGCAAACACTCATCTTCTTTCTATCACTGCAGATCGGACTGTATTTTCTAGAATTGCATATCAACGGAAATGTAGATTATATACTGTTTTTTTTGCCTGACTTCTTTCATTCAGTAAAATTAGTCTGATATTTATCAATATTGCTAAATAAATGTATCATAGTTTGCCTCATTTTTTAAACTGAGCAAACTTCTTTCTCTTTTTTTTTCTTTTGGAGTCAGGGTCTCACTCTGTCACCCAGGCTGGAGTGCAGTGTCACGCTACTGGCCACCGCAGCCTTGATCTGCTGGGCTCAGGTGATCCTTCCATCTCAGCCTTCCAAGTAGCTGGAACTACAGGTGTACCAACACGCCTAGCTAATTTTTTAAAAAATTTATTGTAGAGATGAAGTCTCACCAAGTTGCCCAGACTGGTCTCAAACCCGGGGGTTCAGGCAGTCCTCTTACCTTGGCCTCCCAAAGTGCTGGGATCATAGGCATGAGTCACTGTGCCTGGCCGGGTTTTTTTTTTTAGAAGGCAGGATTTATTGAGAGGACAGAAAAGCTCCCACAGTGGGAGGGGACCTGAAGGGGTTACCGCCTCTTTTTTTTTTAAGTCAAGGTCTCATTCTGTCACCTAAGCTGGAATGCAGTAGCAAGTATAGGCCTGTGCAGGGCCAAGGAGACAGAAGGGAGAAGGCAAAGGGAGGAAAGACAGCAGGAAGGCGGTTCATGGCTGAGTGGTCCCTCCCGGCAGGGCCCAGGAGACAGACTTACTTTTGGAGGTTGGCCATTTGCTTCACAGCTTCCACAGCCCCTGGCAGAGGCTCAAGTTCATAAAAGAAATTCTCCGACTCCCAAATGCTACTGGCCTTCTCCTGAGAAGTCAAGAAAAGCAAGTTACTCCTCAGCATCTCACTGCTCTTACCTCAGGGGAGGATGTCAAGGCTGCCAAGGTGGGGGTGCTTCCACATTCCTCCTGCCTCCAAACACACACCCAAGGACAAATTTCCTTGGGAAGGCGCATCAGCTTTGGGCCCCTCGCCAGGAAGGATATGACTTTTGTGAGGACCCAGCAGAGACTAGCTAAAGCGTCAGGGCCATGGAACAACACCTGCTGGAGCTCTCTGGGACCCAAGGCCAGCTGTCAGAAGTCACGCACTCACCAGGGTGGATTTGAGTGGCCAGAAGCACCGTGGAGGCTAAGACTGGGCGACCCTGCTGTGGCAGTAGAGTCCTTACACATCAGAGCTGGAGGGACTCAGAGATCCTAACGTGCACCCCTCCCACATCAGTGAGAAGAGCTTCACAGCTTTCTCTGCTCTGCTTTTTCATCTGTTTTATGTGTTGAGGCACCAATAAGTACATTTAAAAAGAAAAAAGGATTCTGCAGCTTTTAGAGCTAGAAAGCAAAAACCCAGACCTTCATTTTACATATGAGAAAACGAAGGCCAGAATAGGGAAGGGATCTAGCTGATGTCGCACTGCCAAGCAGAGACTAAGTTGGAGGAGAACCCTCACCTCCCAACTCCCCAGCTAGCTCCTTTCCACCTCACAGTGCTGAGCCAAAATCAAGCTTCCAGGTTGCAGCAAGGGCAATGTGACAATGGGAGGGAAGGCAGTGCTCAGTCTCTGAGAAGCAGAAGCCTAAACCCCATGCGAGCGGTACAGGAAACACCTCTGCCAGGTCAGACTACGTGCTCCAGCACAATGCTATCCCGCGCCATATATAGCTGGAGCACAGTCAGAGATCACACCAGCTATACTCTTGTGAACTCAGAGGGACTAAGCAAATGCGTGCTTATCGCTATATACACTTGGTCCTCACAACTCACAAGGGCAAAGATTGCTACCTCCAGTTCACAGAGACGAAGTGCCATTTAGACATGACTGTCAGGACTTGAACTTCTAACTGAGTTCAGACTGGAAGTAGTGCAGAGATGTGGGGTCAGAAAGTCCTGGCCCTTGCTGTGTGACCCTGGGTTCACCACCTCACCTCAATGAGCCTCTCCCCTTATCTAGAAATTAAAGACAGGAGTCCATCCCTTCCTCAGAGGGTCATTGTGAGGTTATACAGATACACAGCACCTGGCATGGAGCCTTGTATGTAATGCCAGCTTCTCAGCACACCTTCCCTTCCTGACACTAACTTGCTGTGAAACCCTGGTCAAAGCACTTCCAACTCTCCGGGCTTGGTCTATCCATCCTTACGGTTTAAGATTCCAAGTCAGTTAAAATGAGCTTGCTTTCCCCATTCCACCTGCTTACCTCCCAGAGTAACGAGAAGATCAAAGGGAATCAGACAGCAGAATTTTGTAAAGTAGAAATGCCTACATCAATAAGTGGAGTTAGCCGGGCTTGGTGGCTCAGCCTGTAATCCCACGCCTTTGGGACGCTGAGGTGAGTGGATTGCTTGAGCCCACGGGTTCGAGACCCGCCTGGGCAGCGAGACCTCATCTCTACAATAAATCAAAAAATCAGCCGGGCGTGGTAGCGCGCGCCTGTAATTCCGGCTACTTGGAAGGCTGAGGGGGAAGGATCGCTGGAGCCCAGCAGGTCGAGGTTGCGGTGGCCGGCCACTGCACTCCAGTCTGGGTGACAGAGTGAGACTCCAACTCAAAAAAAAAAAAGTGGAGTTGTTTTGTTTCAATCACAGATACTGGGCAAACTCGACCAAGGGGAGACCCAGGGATGTTGTACAGTGAGCTGTGCCTCGGGTAGGGAAATAGAAGAAACCAGTAGGTTACTCCCAGAGTACCCCTCTTACTGCTCTGTGAGCTCTGTCCCATTGCCCTGTACTTGGAAAACTGTAACTCGGCATGTACATAGGCTGCATATCTGTACAAAGGCCTGGAAAAGCCACTGCACTTTGCAAAGCTGAGGGCTGGGCTCAGTTTCTCCTGGGAGAAAATAAGGTGCCCAGACTTCCAACACTGTGCACAGTCTATAAGTGAACACACACACAGTGCGGTGGAGTCTATTCTGGAGGCTGCAGACATGAGTAGAGATTTTCTTCCCCCAACTGAACATTTTTCCTGTATTTTCAATATGCTGGGAGAGGTCAGCGTACTGGGCTCTGTGAAAGTCACCTCTGCAGTGCCTGCTGTTGATGAAGACAAAAGAGCACTAGGTTTCCTTTCTTAACGCCTATCCCTCAACAAGCCACAATCTTGGTGAGGCGCCTTTTTGAAGTCAGAAGAAATGCCCCTTGTTAGTGAGAGCAGAACGGGACTCCTGGGTGGGGAAAGCTAAATGTGCTTGAGAAGCAGACGATTTGGATTTGAATCCTAACTAAGTCCCTTATGAGCATGTGACTTGGGGCAAGTTTCTTCATTTGCAAAACGGAAATTGTCTTCCTCAAAGAAGAGAGGATGCAGTGAACTTGTGGTTACAAAATAGGCTCAAATATCTTCCTCTTCCTTCTCATCAAATCCTCTGGCAATGACCCTAGGTGGCCAATCGAGAGATGCCTGAAGTCTGTACACTGCAAAGTCCCCTCTTCCTATCACAAAGTATTTGCAATTTACAAACCAAGGTGTCTGTACGCCTTCCTCCCTGGATATTTTCCCTTTGTCCTTCCTGGACTCAGAGAACAGAGCACAGCTGGAATTGGGGGTAGGGGGTGAGGAGATGGTGATCTCAGGTGTTCAGCAGGGCCAGTACTGGATGCCGGACAAGTCAAGAGATGGACCCCATCCCATCTTGACCCCTAACTCACAGTGTGATGCCCAGAAAGTCACTCAACCTTTCTGGGCCTGAACTACCACTGGAAAAGGACAAAAAAAAAAAAAAAGAGTGGTAAAGACACCCATCAAATTCTTGGGAAGAAATGGGAGTGTGACCGCGGTAGTGGTGGAGGAGGACCCAACTTGTACGGTTTATTTTTCTAAAACTTAACAAAAGACTTGCGGCCGAGTACACCACAATAAACAGGTCAGCTGAAGATGGAGAGTCGGGTATGTTACGCTTCGTACTCTCCTGTGTTGGTGGTAGCCCTCGACGGCAGCCAGCAGATACGGAGCGCAGGGCTGCTCCCCCACCCCCGTGCGCCGTCGCCCCCGGACCCTGTGTGAC